CCTTGCACATTCTCTAGAAACCTCTGTACAGGATGTCTGGCAACTATTTGTGCTTCCGGGTGCGCCAACAGGGAAGATCATATTATCTCCCTTCGCCGAGGACTCAGAAGCATGTGTAGAGTTCTCAGACATCAACGTATCTTCTCTGCTTCCTCCGTGCAATGAAAAATGCGGCTTTTAGAACTCAAGATAGATTCTCCAGTAAGCCAGATTTCAGCCTCGGCTCCCCCCGAGCTACAAAACAGGAGAATTAACAGACCGGCTCGGCTCCGATTTGCGAGAAACGGCCGATTTGCGAGAAACCGACCCTGAGCCAGCAGCACAGAGTCTAAGAAAACCCAATTAGGGGTAATACTGGGAAAGAGCCATAATTCAGCGCTACAGTCCTCATGAGTTGTGTGTGCAAAGTTCTGGGTTTCATTTGCAGCGAAGCAGAAACTCAACTAGCAAAACTGGGAACGAACTTTGCTAGAAACCATTGGAGGGTTACAGATAGAGAAAACAATATGGAACTAGAAGGAATATCGGCACTCTGGCTCAGTAGGAAATGGAGCTTGCACAGCCAATATTTCATTGGAGGAGGAGGAGGAGGAGAAGAAAAGATTGGATTTAAACCCCGCCCTTTACTATCCGAACGAGTCTCAGAGCAGCTTACAATCTCCTTCCCTTCCCCACAACAGACACCCTGTGAGGTCGGTGGGGCTGAGAGGGCTCTTTCGAGAACTGCTTGCAAGAGAACAGCTCTGAGAGAACTGTGACTGACCCAAGGTCACACCAGCAGCTGCAAGTGGAGGAGTGGGGAATCAAACCCGGCTCTCCCAGATTAGAGTCCGCGCACTTAATCACTACACTAAACTGTCTCTGAAGCTGACCCTAGGGCGAAGACTAAAAGCAGATGATGCGGTGAGGTCTGAATGCGAGACAGCCTGGGGATCAGGACAGGAAGGAAATCAATTAACCTAGAAGACCTGGATTCGAGTCCAGTGCACCGTAGAGACCAACTGGGTTTTCGCTGCATAAGCTTTCGAGTGTCAAAACTCCCTTCACTGGAGTTTTGACTCTTGAAAGCCTGTACACCAAAGATTTCATTCATCTCTAAGGTGCTACTGGACTCGAATCCAGTTCTTCGGCCACGGGCCAACACAGCTACCCTCCTGAAACGAAATAAAACTAGATTGTCCTCAAACCGAACTATGCACACTCACACAAATGTATCATTCTCCGGGGCCGAACTTGAAGCGACACTTGATAGAATCATAGAGTTGGAAGGGACCTCAAAGGTCATCTAGTCCAACCCCCCTGAACAATGCAGGAAATCCACAAATACCTCCCCCCATTCCCCCCAGGGACCCTCGCTCTATGCCCAGAGGAAGGCCAAAATCCTCCAGGATCCCTGGGCCAATCTGGCCTGGAGGAAAATTCCTTCCTGACCCCAAAGTGGCGATCGGCATATGAGAAAGGGCCACAAGAGCTGAGCACTGGCTCCTCCCTTCTTTCCTTCCCTCTCACGACCTGCCTAAGTTCTCACAATCAGCATTGCTGTCAAGTGGCCATCTAGCCTCTGCTTAAGAAGAAGGAGAGCCCACCACCTCCCGAGGAAGCCTGCTCCACCGAGGAACCACTCTGTCAGGAAGATCTTCCTAACGTTTAGACGAAAAATATGTTTAGCTTTTATGTGTTCTGTGTCACTTTGGGTTAACATAAGAACATCAGAGAAGCCACTGTTGGATCATCAGGCCAATGGCCCATCCAGTCCAACACTCTGTCACACAGTGGCCAAAAATACCAGGTGCCATCAGGAGGTCCAGCAGTGGGGCCAGGACACTAGGAGCCCTCCCACTATTGACCCCTCCCAAGCACCAAGAATACAGAGCATCACTTGCCCCGGAGTCCCTATCTATACCTTGTAGCTGATAGCCACCGATGGACCTCTGCTCCATATGCTTATCTAATTCCCTCTTCAAGCCATCCATGCTTGTAGCCACCACCACCTCCTGTGACAGTGAATTCCATGTGTTAATCACTCTTTGGGTGAAGAAGTACTTCCTTTTATTTGTTCTAACCTGACCGCTCAGCAATTTCATGGAGTGCCCACAAGTTCTTGTATTGTGAG